TGCTTTTCCAGTTTCTGCTGTTCAGAGCTAAAAGCCACTTGCATTTTTGTTCTACAAAATGATGACGAGTGGGGAACTGTGTGTGTGTGTGGGTGTGTGTGTGTGAAGTAGCTTTATTTAACGTCCGCTTCCACCTAGGTGATATCGCAGACAATTACATGTTATATATACAAAGTGAAATATTTACAAAGTGATTAGCAAAAAAGTGAAAGGATTGGTAAAGAATATTCATATATAAGCACATATAAAACACTTAAGGTGGGAGCTTTTCAAAACCTTTTTTTAAATATCAGTTTGGTTATTTCATAGAAAAATTGAAGCATTAAAAGAATGATTGATTCTTTGTGTAATGTCTATACTAAGTTACACACACAAGTTACTCAACAAGTAATAACGATGGTGTCAGATTTATAGATAATAGTTCCTACTAGACAATTAATGAGACAAATCTGTGAAACTTAGATGCTTAAACAAAGTTGTTAACATGTATTCATTAGATGAATCTATGTGTGGGTACCTGTATTCAACAGGTAAATTAATAGCCTTTTTATCATGAATCAAAGCAATTAGCTTGTAATTAAAGTTGTGGGAGAATTCCAGGTGAAACAAACAGAGAGAGAAAGTGATGATAAACATCTCTTGATTCTGTATAAGATAGACGACCAATCTTCGAACATTATCTCTGACAATAACTTTCCTTTTATACATCAGCTCTGGTTGATAACTTGTTTATCATCCTCTAAACGGAACAAAAGAAATTCAGCACCAATATTGACTTCACCTGACTTTACACCTGGCGATATTCAATATTGACGTAGATAAATTTAATTATCGTCTTTTCTTGCTCAACATCTTGAAAGTACCCATGACAATTGACATGTATCTCTTTCATTTCATTCAATCAATGGTGTGAAGTAATCAAGATGGTTGGCAATACAAAATACTTTATAATGGATTTGATAACATTAATTTACAAGTTTGGTTCTAAGGAAATTTAGAAATGCTTTAAATTGGATTTATATTGAGAAGGGTAGTAGAAGTGGCATCTTTGTATAAAGAAATTTTTGTCCAAGGCAGCATCTCCGATAATTAATATTTGTAATTCTTTGTTCAAAGAATATGGATAAATGGTTCTTATATGTTCTTTTTAAGACTTGTGAGGAAAAGCATGTGCACATCACCTTTAATTCTAACTTTATGAAAGTCACTAATTCCTCTCAAACTGACAAAACCAATTTAAAATCTGCCCTGATAAAATTTAGTAATTCTGCACTCTCATCAACTTTCAAAATTACAATTTTATCATTCTTTTGTATTCATTTGTTTTCATTTTCAATTTCCTGTCAATTTGTTGCAATAAAAAACACATCACAGAGTTAAATAAAATATTTATTCAAATAAATCAATTTGTTTCTCTCTTTGTCTCCTCATCAATAAATCTACATGCAGGGTATCTAATTGTTTCCATTTTCTATTTATAACATTTCAAATAGATTGGATTTTTGTTTGATTATTATCTGATGAGAATTAATGATGAAACATACATGTCTACACACAGGTAATGACAGGTAAAGGTGAAAGGTCACCTGGAAGAGATGTACATATTAAATGTTTACATTAATACTAAGAGTTTGCAAATAAGATGGTGTAATAGTTTGACTCTAGGCCTCCAAAAGGTACAGATTTCAATAAAGACTTGGGTTATTTATTGAAGGGATGAATGACCACTGTCCATCTTGAGTAATCACTTGTTGTAGCATTTGAACTCTAGGGATGAATTCTCAAACAATTGAACACTATGGTTCCGCCTCATAGGCCAATTGTGTGGTTAGAGGAGTTATTTTGATAGGATTACAATTATTCAGTATTTATTAAGCACTAGCTCACAGCAGGTGTCAGGCTCTTGACTCTTCATATACAATAAAATATCTAAGCTTCTCTGCATCCATAATCCACCTTTACAGCTAATTAAGGGGATAACTTTATTTATGGGTGATTAAAGTTGAATCGTAGATCAACAAAATTCTTGTTGGTAGTTTGTTTGTAGATGCTTTAAGATATACCTTCACTCATGTGTAAATAAACAATTGTTTACAAAGGATGCAATAAAGTTTTAGTGTGTAGACAAATTAACAAGTCATCCGTTTATTCAGATGGAAAGATATGTAATTCTTCGAGGGAGAATAATAATTTTGGGTTATATAATTAAAGAGAGAGCTGATTCTGTTTAAAACTTCATAGCATGTACATGTATTAATATGGATTTAATCAGATGAATCAAAATGGGATTCTTTGAGGGAGAAAAATAATTTTAGGGGTTACATAATTAAAGAGGCTACCAGCATTGATTATGTTTAAAACTTCATAGCCTCATGTATTAATATGGATTAACATTTTTTGTTGGTTAAAAGACAGATTACATCTTTAAGCTTGGGCCTAGTATTAAGATTTTGCTGAGATTAACTCAAGATCATAATAAATGATTCATCTAAAACTGGTAATAGTTTCCCAAATAAAAAAGAATTCTCTTTAAAAAAACAGGTTAATTTACTTTATCTATATATACATTGTAACTGCAGAAGATGTATTATTTAAATAGTAATTTATTTCCGGAAGTTTTTGCTCTATTCACACTTGAATTTGTGTGTAATATTTTGTTATTCATGTTCCTGATTCACAGAATACATCATCATGATTAAACAGTTGATATTATAATAGTTAATACATGTAATATCAACTGGATGAGCAAACCATGGTTCTAACTGAAAGACCAAATACAACAGAAAATATCCATATCAAATGACATGTTCAACTATTTGAATAGTCCAAATACATGCCATGCATTATTAGCAGCAGGTCTGCTGGGTATTAAGGCCAATTAAAATTAATTACATTCTTCTCATCACTAATTTTAAAATAGATTGGGCACACAACAAATATATATCATATATATTGTTCTTTCCATACACATCAAAGGTGAACTAATACGATCTGATGAAAAATTTGAGAAGATCTGACCTTTTATTACATGAATCTCACAAAACATATGATATTTTTGCCTGATGACAATGTTTTAATTTAATTAAGAGTAATTACCAGTCATTAGACATGTTCTTAGAATGTCAAAGGGTATTTTTAAAAGAAATATATAATACAAACAACATTATTTAGATATGTACCAAAATCGGGATATGCAATTTGCAATGATGAGAGTAGTAATTAATTTTGATTGGCCTAATGCATAATTTCATAAAACAGATCCATCTTTTATCAGCAATGGCCATGACATTTTTACCTGCACTCACCAAACCTGTGAAATATGATATCATTGTTTTCGGAATCCACTTAATACCTAATTATTTATTGTATATTTATATTGGAAATAACTCTAATATTATTGATGATGATCACAGTGATGAAAAATAATCAATCAACAACTGATAATAAGGAAACACAAACTAACTATATAATGACAGATAATGTCTGATAACGCTGAATGACTAAATGAGTCAGAGAGAGCATTCTGAAGGAAAATCTGTCAAACTTAGTGTTGTAATTGACAATCCAGCTTAATTAGCAATAATAATGACAAGTACTAACCCATCATTAAATTAGCTTGATACTGTTATAAAGTGTCAAAAACAACAGGTTTCAAAAGAAAGAACATCTTAAAAGCTCATTCATCCATTACAGTGTTTATCAATAAAACAGCTTGATATATTGTTTACAATGCCTTTAGGCATTTTACATTTATAAAGACAAGAAGCTGCGATATATAAATATATTACAGCATCTAATCCTTTTTTTCTGGTAGCAACTTCATTATATACAATATACAGGCTGTTATTTTATAGTCGCCATATTGCAAGCCTACACATCATTGTCAACCTTGGCAAAATTTAAACTTAAAAACATAAAGTTTTTATTAAATGTTAATATAACATCAGATGCATCACCAGGTCTAAGAATATTATTAGCTACTGCTATTAGTACAAATACTATGATTTATCATATCCAATACACAACCATTATAAATATATTCACAGGGCAATTAATATAATTATAACTTCTTATTAAAACAAAGTATACGGTTAAAATGGATTATATATATAAATACATGTACATATGATCTACAAAATATGCAAATCAGTATTTTGGTTTATAGTCACCCCCTACAAGATAGATTTAACAAAATATATCCCCCACCCCCACAACTTATCAGTTTTACCAAAATATCAGGCTACTTGGTAAATGACTTTGTATCTATGTCAACAGATAAATATAAGTCATGCCAATTACCATACTATAAAGTGCATCTATATTTATGGATAATGGATTCCCCAACAACTTCTCTCAATACATAAGCCAAGATCAAACCTTTTGTCAAATCAGCAATGTTTGGCATCGGGCCAAATCTTATCGATAAACATTCATTTCTTCAAGCGCTGTAACGCTAATCTCTTATTAGGGCTTTATAGGTGAATTACTACATCTCTAATACATACAGAGTGATATACCTGATAGTTTATATCAAATAAAGGTGTTTCATATTACATACTCAATAAAATAACCAAATAAAAATATTGTCATCTTGTCAGCAAGTCTTTTCGCGGTGTCAATCAGGAAGAATAACGCACTTTGACGGGCTTTTTTGAGAATTGGGCCTAGATTTTTTTCTATCGCTCTGTTATTTCTACTTTCTATTTCCCCTCCAACTCCCCTACTAAACTAATCTAAACCAGATGTAATGATTCGCCAAATATAACCAAATGTTGTCTGAAAGACATCTTTATTTCATTAACACTTGTCGCTTGTTTTCATAGCTACAAGTCTGAACTTCTCTCGATGCTTGCGTAGCAGCCGACAAAATGCTCACTGCCAATCCATCCTTGCTTGACGATGTCACCAAGCGCAAAAACATACCTGTCGCAATTATTACCGAAATGAAGTGATATAAGACCAAATAATTTAAAGTGATGCTAATTTTATAAAACACTTACCTTGAATGGGCCTTGGGTTGGCTTGTTTTCGACGGGACATGATGCCAAACTGTCCCCTGCAACCTCCGTCGCCAAAACTGACACCTGACTGGAGCATGCGCAATCAGCTTCTTTATCTCCCAGCATGCATTTTCATCCTAGTTTAGGAGAAGAATCCGATCGGGATGACAAAGTTTAGTAACTCAAAATGCGACCTTCTTGGTGGTTATTTTGTATTTCATTGGAGAGAGGACAACAATAGATTAGGTTGAACATTTTTCACACTAAGCGATGAGTGCGCGTCGATGACTATGTATTGAAAAACAATATTTCCTGATGTCTTTTGATACGCCATTTTTCTATTGTATTGAGTAAAAACTACCGTTATCTTTTATTGCGATAAAATGCTTGAACGATTCATAATATAATTTGGTTATATTATTTGAATCATCTATACATTATCTATGAAAAATTATGTGACGATTTTGTATGAGGATGCAGGATAAATAAACGACATGTTTCAAATTTTTCTAAAATTGAATCTCAGTCAATTCCAATAACCATCTTGTTTTGAAGGAGGAAAAATTAAGATCTTTGACAGCCTACATGCATTTTCAACATTTATTAAATATGATCAGCACCATTATACAACATTGATGTTTGTTTTATTACAGGGGAGGGGTGTTTATGGAAGCCAGAATAATTTATTGTCATTAATCAGCCTTGTATCATACTAAATTCTGAATATGCATATTTATTTAGAAATTCTACTAGTTTAAGCTCTGACTTAAACAGCGGCCACTGTTTATCCCTCTAAAATATAAACAAACGTTATTTCGGTAGCCAACCAGTTTAAGAAGTATTAGAGTTTTTAATCCTTGCATTTGAGAAAAGGGTAGGTTTTTAAGATCCACTGTTGTTGATGATCATAATACACGCAAAGGCTGCACGTGGTTATGGGTTTCAGGGTGGGTTTTTTTCTGTTTATAAATTAATAACCGTATTGCTAATTTTACCCTTCTTACTGAATATTGAATAAGAATATTCAGTATTCAATAAATGTATTTAAGAAAACTAATTGTATCTAATTATATTGTTTTGTTGAAGGGAGAGGGGTGATATAGGTCTAGCCTCTTCCCCAATCCTATTCTTATTGAATAAAATATAGTTTAAAAAAAAAAAATAATAACTGATTTAAATACACGGAAATTTTCTTATTTTCTTTTAATAATTATGATGTGTGTTGTTATTTTAGGCCTATCTGTTGTCATAAACAGGTAAATTTTTATGAATGTAAGTAGGCTTTGAAAACGCAGGTGGGGTGGTATAGGCTGTAGAGCCACAAAGCAGTCTTTAGTAATACTTAGTATTGTGAACCCTATTCAAAATTATAATCTAATTGTATACTACACCTATACGCGTATAGGCCTGCATTAATATTGATGGATTAAGGGCATCACCTCTTTAGTTATGAAGAGCATCGTATCAAAATTATTTGGATGTTTGCCAAAAGATCCTATAGGCCCCAATAATGCATAAAGATCCAATATAGAACCTTCATTCATTCTTTAGGATTCGTAACAATTTATATTGAAAAGTCTGATAGTCTCAGGTAACCAGACGGGGATTATTGTGTCGTATTAACCTGTTACAATCCGAACTCTGAAGCAGTTGTTAATTTGATATGAATAGAGTTTTGAGCTTCTTTAGAAACACTATCCAAGACACATATTTTCTTATTTTGTATTGTTAAGATATGTGTATAATTTTTATCAGGGCATCGGCCCGACAGGTTAATATGCTACGTATGTATCAGTTATTAGCCGAAATCTGTGTTGGCAAAATAATTGAAAAGTTTTTTTCACAATGAAAATTTTGATACCGTATATAAAACGCTGTAGAGCCATGGTTAAGTAAGGAAAACAATATCTCCGTGATATTCATAATGAATAAAAATAGGTAAAGTGACTAATTATTCGAGACCATGTTTCTGCTACCATATAATTATATGTAATAAAATGGTGTTCAGGATATACATGAATAATAACGTCCGTCGATATTAGTATTCATCAGCTGGAGATATAAATATACCGTTATTCACAGGAGCTGGATGACAACAAAACACATATTGCCGATTACTCTATGACTTGAAGGATAATAGGCTTTGAACGTGTATCAAAGAAACGTTACATACACCGATCGTAGATAAAAAAAAAAGACAACACAAACGCTAGGTATACATAACGTCCACACCTTTTATTCAATTGATGTCACTAGATTGATAGATGAATTATGTCTGCGGTCAGCCACATATTTCTTAGTCCATTTAGTGAATTCAAACCGCTCTATACAGGTAGTGTAATGGATGGAAGATTTTCAAAAGATGAAAAAAGTTGGTGTATATTATAAAGAAATAGGCTAATGGATATTTAAACTGATATTGTTTAATAAGGAAATGATAATATATTGCAATATGCGAATGACCATATTTATTCATGGTGCTATTTTGCACGTATAGGCGATTACGTGGAACGGGGATAATGACTGAATGAAACTTGGCATCATTACAAGAATTTATCTATGCATTATCGAAGTTTGATTTCTCGGAATCATCCTAGTCTCTGATAAAATAAAACTATATATAGGAACAAAACGTTTGCTCGAGAGCATTAAAATGTTGTTGGGGTTTGTTTTGTTTTTTTTGGGGGGGGGGGGTGAAAATTTGGAAAAAAAACATGCAAATTGGAAATAAAAATTTATTACATTTTTTTAAATTTACAATTTAAAGTTAACAAATGCTCAAAACTTTAATGCATTTTTGAAATGGCACACGTTTTATCCGTTCAGATTGTGGACAGGGGGGGTGGATGGCCGAATGGTTAGCGCGTGTGCGCTGTATCATAAGGCCTGTTATTGAGTCAGCTGGCGTGGTTTCGATTCCCCGATTGTAGGGTCGCCTCTCCAACCACGTGGGTTTTCTCCTGGTCCTCCGGTTTCCTCCCACTGCTAAAGACCCCTACGCGCATGCGAATTATTGAAATAAAAACAAAAATGAACCATATGTTAGTTTGTGTCGAGTGGACATTAAACCCCATTTCTCCCCTGTACGTCGGTCCGGCCATTCGTTTACAATTCTTTTTAACATTCTACAGATCAAAGTTGTTGAAACCATATCGGCATTCTGAGCCGCGCAATGATTCTTCACAGAGTTACGTCCTCTGTTACCGCAACTTTATAGACGCTCAACGAGTCAGAATCTTGAAGATTTTATTATTGCTGCTCAGTTGGTCCTGTTGATTTTCACCCTTACTGCCTTTGTCGTTGAAATATAGCAAACGCTCTGCAGAAAAGAGTTTTTGAGATTTTTTTTTTCAAATTTGCTGGGTCTGTGCCACTATTATAGTCATCAAAATGGTGGGTTTCTTTTCTTTACCCAACAACGCCATGAACATTGGGAACAGCAATGACGTCTTGAGGAATAGGGATATTTTATTAGTGTTCTTTTTGTTTGAAGTTTCGATCAGTTTTCGAGATTAACGTTAGTATAAAAGTAGGCTACAACATATAGGGTTCGTAGGTTTTCTACGGGAAAAAACACATGGTATTTTCGTCTTGGAAAATACTGGCTGGAAAAGGTTGTTATGTATTGCTGTTGACTTTATGCGCCCATCTCCAGCGTCCCTCTGTCGCAGTGTCAGTGGTTTCGTTGTAAACAGTTTTTAGGTATTATTTAGTGAGATAGTAAGCATATCCTGTCCCGTATACTACAGGCGTCGCCACTTATAGGTAGCCGCAGCGATAGTTTGGATATGGACTTCATGAGTCGATTTCGGCCGAAGCGAGTGATATTTCCAAATTGGACATGCTGTGTGGTTGAGTGCTCTAACGCGTGCGCTTCAGAACAGAACAGAACAGTCTGTCACTGAGTCAACTGGCGTGGTCTCGACCCCATGCTTTTGTACGTGATAAGAAGTTAGGGTCGCCTGTCCACCCTCATCAGGTTTTCTCTGGGTCCTTCCACTGCTAAAGAGTAAAGACCCCGACGTGAATTATAGAAAAAAAATTGTACCATTTAAAAAATGTATAAGTCTCTAACTCAATATTTTCCAAAATATTCGAAATTAAAAACACGAATTAGAATTCAATATTGATCAATTTCAATTAATATTAATGTTGTTATCTTGCTGTGAAACTATGGGCTCCTAATCTCCAATATTTAAGACACGGTTAATATTTTATAATCAGTACACGTGGCGTGTACTATATGTTTTCGGGTGCCATTTTGTAATGAACAAATAAACACATATCCTACAACACAACACGGAAGTAATTGTAAAGGCTGATTCACAAACGATAAAATAATGATTTAAAAAACGTGTAGAATGCGCTAAGCAGGCGTAAACGACTGTCGTTCAATCACTTTACATATATACATTGATATTACATCAATATGTGAGTTTAGAACCGGGGGGGGGGGGGTAGCAGAATGGTTAGCGCGTGCGTGTTGTATCATAAGGTCTGTCAGTGAGTCCCACTGCTAAAGATCCCTACGCATAAGCGAATTATTGAAATGTAATTGAGCCATATGTTAGTCCCGAAATGACTTAGTTTGTATCGAGTGGATGTTAAACCCCATTTCCCTCTCTATCTCTCGCTTTTAGAACCATTTTTATATATTTCAAGGTTCTAAAAAATAGAGCCATACGCCCTTTAAGTCGCGAAAAGATCTGTAATCTGTGTCGCGTGGCCGTTACCCTCACCCAGACGTCTATCTCCGAAATTGCTTATGGCGCGAAAGATTAGAATTGACAATTCATCCCCTTACCATCCCATCATTTGAAAGTTGGAATTTTGTCAGATGTTTATCTATGTTAGTAGATATTTTATAGATAATGATGAGATACAGGGTAACTGTCACAGCAACCTACTTCAGTCTATAGTCTTATCTATGGTACCAGCAACTAGAAGAAGATATCTTCAACATAATTCTGTTAAGTTCCCACACCAGTATCCCACATCATAATTTCTATCAATGGTAAGGTCGTCCAGACGAGAGAGTAGGTCACCGAAATTAAATTTTCACTCCTTCCGCCAAACGGTCTTCAACCCCATTACATTTATTAAATCAACATTCACAAAATGAAACGTCGTACAGTTCTGTGCCGACTGGGCTAAT